AAGAAGCCCGGGTAAATAATAATTTCTCTTTAGGGCTTTAAGAAGAAAAGTAGGGTAAGTGTGTATAGGACCAAGAGGCACAAAACATTTCAAAAGAAGCAATTAGAACAACTGAGCTCAGGCATATTGCAACAGCACTGGATTCTAACTGTCCATTTCACTGGTTTCTCCTTGAAAAGTAATTGCAAAGTTTCTCTCTGAAGTGACAAGAGGACTTACCTGGCTTAGCAAAGCCCTTGGCTTAACATGTAAGTGTGTGCACTGCACACCTATACAATTACTGCAAAGGAGAAATTTTAATTATTACAACCTCTTCGAGGTATTCTGAGTTCAGAGTATTCTCCAAAAAGAGCTGGCAGCTTTTAACAATCTTGTCAATTTAAAGTAAGCTGTTTACTAACTATATTGTAGTCATACACATAATATAGCCACATATATACCCATAAAGTTTTATACTTAAGTTCTCCATGTTGCTTCCTCCAGGTGCTTATTGTACATGGGCATCTCTCCAGACCTGGAGTATGGGCATTCCAGTTGCTGCAGAGCTACCACTGAACTGAGGGCATGTCCCCACTGAGGACATGCAAAACTTGAAAACCAGCAATTCCTCTTTTGAGGCCAATATCCTACATGTGATGTCACCTTTTTCTTTGAGGCTGGAGAAATAATGTTGTTTGAAATATCAGCTTTACTTAAACCAAAGGTGTAAAATCAGAGATATTAACTCATTCAAGTTTCAAAGAACTTGAGAAAAAAACCCACATTTAGGATAGCAACTGAACAGAGTCAAATCAAGTTAACTGACAAAATGGCAAGAATGTTACTCCATAACTATTACAGCTACCTCTTCTGTACTCTCAGTTTTACTCTTTTTGCCCAGCTTGGCTGAAAAAAAAGTTGATACCACCAGGTACTAATTCTCTCTAAAATGAGGTAATGACAGATAATTCTAGATAGACAAGGAAGAGACATTTAATCCTGCTTCAATTAGGAAACATTAATTAAACCAGTGATCTGCAACTGTTCTCTAGATTGTTCCCATTGAATCCAATGATTACCACATTCCTTTAGTGTATCTGGTCTTTTAGACAGACTACTGTGTCTGGAAACCTGGTGTCTCTGCTCCTAAAGCACATAAGGACCTATCACCAGGGAAGCAAAATATTACAGGAGTGCATGCACTGGGGTCTCTGTACCTTTACATGCAAAACTACTATTAGAGATCAATCTGAACATGGATTTTCATTATGGTTAAAAAAATTTTGGGAAAAGGCTTTACAAAAAATACTTACAAATTGATTCAGTGGTAATAGCACTCTACTGATTTTATGTTTTTAAAGTTACTTTAAATTCTGTATAACATTGGTTAAATGTTATTAAATGCTGATATAATGAGAAACATATAACAAATTGAATTCTCTTCAATCACAAATGCTTATAGCAGTACAAGAAGAATTTTTAAATCTAAATGAAAGGAATACAGACTCTGCTGTCATAGAACAGAGACTGTTGTCCAACAAGTATTTGGGGGCTATTATTTAAAAGACACTACCAGTGGCAAACTTAAAGCTTCATGGTTACTTGAAAAGTAAATTAAACACGAGTTCCAAACAAGCCTGCAGTTTCTGGCATCAGCTTTCTACTAAGTCTGGAAATCTAAAAGATTGACAATACCAGCATTATAGCTTAGGATTCAAAGAGAAAGGAAAAACTGTAATTTTGCTAGTTAAACATACAAATCTGATGTTAGCTAAGTCAGCACAGATCAAGTTTCATTACTTCTCCTGGAAAGAAATACTTTTGGGAAGAATAATAATTATTACAGTCAATTTTCACGAACTAGGCCCAACAAAAAGAATTAAAAATAGCAAGATAAGACTGATGACAGTAAAGTTTCTAATCTAACAATGGGAGAGGCCAGTCTGACTCATCAGCATCAAAAGCATGAAACTGAAAATGGGAGATTAAAAGGCCATACTCAGTCCCACACAATTCCCAGGCCTCTTAGTAACTGAATCTGAACACTGTGAAAGCTCAATAAAGACATACCTATTTTTTTATATTAACTGAAGGAACTTGATAAGCTACTAAAAGTACAAACATAAATTAAATCTTGAAAAGTGATATTCTGTACAACATTCACACCCTGTAAATAAGAGCAGCAAGGATGTCTCAGGCCACAGAACTAAGAGGTTCTCATAGTACCTCCTTCAATAATAACATCAGTGATGCAGCTGCTGAAGAACTAAGTAATTTCATTTGGGGTTTTTTGTTTTATTGAATTTTGTGTGATGCAGTTTTGAAGTCCAGCTAAGTCCTTAGCTGACTAAAATATCACAGGAAGCCTAGATACTGGTATCCAAAAGGTCACAGAAATAAGATCATACCACTGTGTGATGCCTACACAGATTATGAATGCACAAAGGCTCAGGCAACACATTGAAGTGCAGTGGTCTTGTCAGTAAACCTAAGGATAGATTAAAACTGGGAGAAAGAAGGAAGGAAATTTAACCCTCATCCACTTTTACAGATTATTTAGCCCTTAGCAGCTCTAGAGGTCATCTTGGAAATCAGAAAAATAAATGATCTAAATGAAAGAATACATACCAGCATCTGCTCACCTGCTATGGTTACTGCTTTTAGTTCAGATATACCAGGAAGAGTCTACCAAAACAGACTACCAGTGGGAAGAACAGAATTTGGAATGGAAGACTTATGCTAAATTGAGATGACAACAAAACACCTCAAAAAACAGCAAACCAGAAATATCTTAAGCAAACCAGATTAGTGAAAGTTACAGTGAAGTAAACACTGTAACTTCCCTCCCTTCTGCTGCTGTGCGAGTTGTTCCTGTCCTGAACAGGGAAGGTACCCTGGTCACAGAGAGCCTAGGCACACCTGGGATGCAGGAAAGGAGGTTTCTTGGATAAGAACAAATAGTCTTAGTCTTTGCTCCAAAAGAAGTGAACCAAATATCCACTTGTCCAAAGAAGGACAAATATTCACTTGTAAAAATAAATCCCAAGGAACTTAGATGCAAACTGCAATAAAAAGCTCAAAGGACTGTAAGCTGTCTGAAGAAGGACATTCCAGTCGCAGCAGCAATTGTTTCATAGTCTAAAATGATCAACAGGTCTCAGGCTGTCAAAGAAAATTAATTCCTTTGTATTTTTAGAAGCCCACATGGGTACCCTCTGGGAATATGGCTGTCCTGGCAGGAAGCTATAGGCCCAGGTGGCTGGGGCAGATTCAGGATGTTTTTAAAAAGGTAGGAAAAAACAGACTAAGAGAGGCTGCATTTTCCAGGCCCAACAGTGGGAAATATTTAGTTAGGATATTTTTATGCTAGTAGCAGAAGACATCAACACGGAACATTAATATTGGGGTTTTTTTTGTCCTACTAAATTTTTATGGCATCCAATTGCAGTCTAAAACAGAGAATGGTACAGCTGGACAAACCATGCTTCTAGAAATGCACATGTTTGGAAAACTCAGCCTCCAGAAATCTTTCAAGAACTCTACAAAACCTTATGCTTGTCCCACTGAGAGAACAAAGACTTCCTCTTTCAGCACCTCTCACATGTCTACCACATCTTCCACAGTTTCAGTCCAAAACACCCCTCCCAGAATCACAAACCCCAAAACCAACAACAACTAACACTAAAAAACTCCACAGAACAAGTGATCAGATTGCCTGTGATTTACAGAAACTGTTCCCAGCCTTTCACTGCCCACCTCCCAGACTTCTCTTTTGGAAACCTGTTGTGACAGAAAAAACAAAATAGCTAACTGCTGCAATGATCTGTTTGCCAAATTGAAACTATTCCCTATTCCTGATATAAAATCCTCAAATAAGGCATACAATAATCCCATCTCCAGAGCAAATCCTCATTACCCTAACAGTGAGCTTGTGTTGTGGAAACTGACATGTTTCAGATGATGCTCTAATAAAAGAGCAGGATGTCAAATTTATAATGCAAGCTGATATGTAACTGTAACCAGATGAACAGAACTTTAGTGTAATTTTGTTAATTTTACACAATACATTTTAATCCTCACACTTCAGTGATTATTAAGCCTTACGTCGCATCAGTTTTTTCCAGCTTTAAAAATGTAAAAAGATAAATCTAACACTTTCTTGTCTTCTAAAACACATTCTTCCACATTCCCATTTAATTTCAGTGCCATGTTGACAGCCTTACATTATCATAACTAGTTTTCCTGGATTCAACGTAATATGTTCAAGGAGCATTATTGAAGACAGATTATTTTATTTTCCTAGCTTTCCTCCAATCTCCAGCATTACTTTTAAAATAATGGACCTGACAAGATAGCAAACCTAACATGGGATTTTGAGGGGGAGGAATAGGGTGTTGGGGTTTCTTTTCCCACATCTCTTGAAAGGTGGTAGTTGTCCAAATCAAGTTTATTTTTAGCTTCTCAGCAACAGATAGTCCAATTCCTGTTTCTATCAGTGCTTTAAATGCTTTTGGCTTCTTACTGCAAGGTAATTCCTACATCTTTACTGCCCAGCCACCTTATGCCCTTTGTGGGAGCCTGCTTTCACTCATCTGCAGCACTTGTTCAAAAGCAGCCTGTCCCGATCTGTCAGTGCTCAAGTTCATGTTCAAGGACTTAAAAGAGCACCAAGAAAATTGACACCACTAGCTGAAAGAGTAGAGGGCCAAAGAAAACTCTCAACTTCCAATTCATACAAGACTGATAATTCTAGAATGTTTTCACATGAAAATTAAAATCACAATGTTTCCTTCCAAGGCATGAGATTCTAAAATGGAAGCACACTATTATTTTAAGAATAAATGATTTATACTCCTAAGACACAGTATTGTTGAAAGCCCACCCTTCTGGTAACTGTAATTGTTCCAGAAATGGTCACATTTGATATGATTATAGAAATAGATTATTAAATTCACCACAGAGTAGAAGAAATTTTCCATCTTGTGATAGATTTTGGATTGAATCAGCAGCCGCTCTTACAGTGACTTTCAATTTGGGAAACATCTTTATTTCCAAACCAGATGAAAAAACCACATTTTCAGAAATAAAGCAAGTCAGAAGATAGCAATTACTTTTCAAATATTAAGGAACATACTTTTTCACACAATATACATGGTACAGTTTCATTTTGCTACTTTCAATATTCACAGTAAAACACTTTTTCAAATAATCTAAGTGCACCTTAGAGCCATCAAGTGTCAGTTAATTTTGTTCCACAGAAATATAAGACACGAAAAGCCAGGTAAGTTCTTCTCTCTGTGTTCAGATTTGCCCAAGCACTTCTGCATAGCATGAATGCTGAAAGAGGTTTCTTGGAAAGCTTAAAGCTTCAGCTTTGATAAGTTCCAACTAAGCTCTATATTAAAGAACAAACACAAAACTCCTGGGCTCTACAGCTGCAGGATAAGACACTGATCACCAGGATAGCTTGTGAAGATGCCATAATGCCCTTTAGGTTCAGGATATCTGTACTGTATGTAGGACTTCCCTCTTGAGACAGATTGTCCTGAATGTTTACAGTCACTTAGATTTGTGGAGAAGGAACAGTGAGGAGACCAGTTGGCTTGATCTTGTTGATTCCTCCATCAAGGATGCAGACCCTTGGGTATTTGTTTTTCACTAGATGAGCTGCAAACTAAAACAGATATATCATTAGCCCACTGCATATCATAGTCCTTAAGTGACAATAACTTTCTGTTACATAAGACAAATTAAACAAAAAATATCAGACCCTAGGAAGTTATTTTTTTTCACCAAGAGGTCCAACACAGGAACTCAGACCAGTGTGTTAAAACAGCTGAAAGTTAAAACCTGAAAGTGTCACACTAATAACAATGAACTTTATTTTTCTCTGCTTAGGCAGGTTTTTACCTCATTGTAAAATGACTGTTTAATCTCAAGGCAATCACTGGAGCCTCTCTCAAAGCATGAACTAGCAAATATTCTTCTGTGCATTTATCTAACTCCCAGCTCTTCTATAGGTTCCCAAGTGTACAAGTATCACAATTGGAGGGTAAACTCATTTGCTTACCTATCAAACTTGTCTAATGTGACTTGATCTCACAGATGTCAGATATGAATTTGGGGTCTACCATCTCTAATCTTCCCTGCTCCCACCAGTCTGCCCACAGGCAAGTTCAACAGTATGAGCAGGTATCCCCCCCACCATGGAAAGCCTCTCTCCTCAAGCAGTTCATGCCATAAACCAAACAGCAATTGCCACTTTCCACAGAGGAACTCTGTGAAATATTATTGCACTGACCAAGGTATTCTGTATGTCAAAATAATTATGAGTAAAAAAAAAAAATCAAAATTATGTTTTGCAATACCAAAATCTAAACAATACTTTGAACTTGCCTTCTATATATGACAACAACACATCAAAAAGCAAGCACCAAAATGGACTAATCAGTAAGAAATGAATAGTTTTACTTAATTTCCAATAGCTGTGAGAAATTGCTCTGCCATCCAAGTCTTTGAGACTGTTTCTTCAAAACTGGTTGTCAAATCAGTACCAGTTGTAAAATCCTTGAGTGCTTCCAATGGGCTATGTAAAACATTTGCAATTTCCTTTTTGACTCTCTAAAATAATTAGTGATGCTATTTGAGAACAAGTGTGATGTCCAGGTTGCTGCCTTTGCACAAACAACTAAATTGCCAATTCAGGAACAGCTGTGGGCACCCCAATCAAACTCAATACGTGGGATTTCTTTTTTCATTTGCTTTCCTCCTAATTACCTATTACAGCATAAAGTGCTGAGGCTGAACTAGATACACTACACAATTACTTGTCAACATTTTGGCTGTTAAATTTATTTCAGGTGGTTGCCTAGAGAAGACTCAAAGTTCAATCATCTCTTCCCCCATCAGTTTGGGTTATTCAGTACAAGAGTCAAAAAATAAAATAAAACAATTCTCACAATCAAGCAATCAAAACAGCTGACATTAAACTTCCACCATATGTGTATGTCAGCTTTCATGAGCAAAGTAAATGCTATGCTTTTGGAAAGGTTCTTGGCTGCACAGGTGGTGTAATATGCACAGAGACATCACTAGGAGAGCCCAAATACCTCTTATTATAATCACAGTCCATAAAGATGCAGTGTGCAGTAGAGACAAAGACAGCACTCAGCTGTGCACACCATGAATTGCAAAAACAGTTCATATCCCCAGTGAAATACTCCTATCAGATATCTCTGCTCCACATGGACACATCTGTCACCTCACAGTGCTCTCCATCTGTGACTAATGGACAGTGCTGTGTCTTAGACAGCAACACTGCTCAGAGCCAGCAGAAATGAAAAATGACAACAAAGCCTTCAGGCTGGCAGGAAGCAGCACGTTATTTCCTGAGTACAGTGTTCATGTGTCAACAGAGATGTTCCACTCTCTGACTACTGATTATTTTAAAATGCTGATAATAAACTGCAAACCCTGCTCCAAGTGTTCTGAATGCCCTAACCCTATTATAACTACCATTCAATGTAATCGTAAAAGAAAATACACAAACAAATTCTTTGTACCTGGGGTTTGAGCATTAAAGCCTGTGTCCCACTGTATTTTAGAACTGCTTTAGTATCCAAGGTATGTCTAAAAATAGATTTTCTTCATAGCATATGACAAGTTTACTTTAAAACTTTATAGTGAGGTATTTGTTGCTTCTTGCAGAGCCTCTGGGAAGCAAGCACTGCAAAATCTGGGGCTGACAGCAATGATGGCAGAAATCACAAGATGATATACCATAAGATGAATTTAAGATGATATAAAATGAGCTTTTTTTTTTTTTTTTTAAGTTGTCACAGAACTATTTGCTGTTATCTGCCTAGTTTCAGTGTGAAATGCTGCAAATACAATTCAAAATATTGCAGCTGAACATCCAGCCAGGGAAAATCCACTGAGCAGGAAATGTGCTACTACCAGTATCTCACTCCTGTGGGAATCAGCTGCGAGTCAGGGACATAGAGGCACACTGACATAAGCTCAGAGCTGCCATCCAATTCCCAGTATCAGCCTCCAAGAGCTTTGCTCATACATCTGCCCAGGCACTGCATAGAAGATGCCAGGTTTAAGTTACATGGCAATAGGACTTGAGCTGATTAAAGACATTCCTAGTTTTCCCTTCTGCCTTCCTTTTCTTTTTTTTATCACTGGAAGTAAAAATAGTAACTTTTGGTAAAGCATAAGACCTAGAAATATTTTCTTATTGGCACAGCAGTCTTCCTTATTAAAGGTTTGACTTTTTATAGTTCTGTTCCTCTGTGCATGTCTGTGCCACCCTCTCCCAGACAGAGGAGCCTGTCTGTTGCAGACAAGAACAGGAACTTGTTCACCATGTGTCTGAAATGTTCCAACAGCACCTGCTACCCTGCCTTGCCAAAATACACTCCATGAAGCCACTATTTTCAAAATACAGGTGAGTGTTATTTCTGGTGTATGCACTGATGGAGGGGCACAAGAGGAAGGACTATTTGAAATAGCTACATAGATTTTCTCCCCAATTTGACCCTCAGTTATGCCAAATATAAGTAGCCTGAATCAAAGAAATAAAGTTTAAAAAAATGTAATGTTTCCTAGAAAGCTGGAAAAAAAATCAGCAATCCAAAAAGAGCAAAATTTCATGCATTAAAAAAATCCCGATGTTCTTCTGAAGAAATGCCCCAGACTTTCTACAGCAGAAACTGCCATCCTAGAATGCATACAAGGGCTCTATTTCCTTCTTAAATGCAACCAGAAAGTGTAAATTAGAAGTTTACTAACAGGCACCTGAATACGTAATTTGTAGTTTACTAAATAATCAAATTTACAAAGATTCTGTTAAGACTGAAAAATAACATGGTGAAAAGATAAGCCCATGGGCTACATGATCCTTAGCAACCTGTAAATCACCTACATTTTAAAGAAAGATGTATTGAAGCACATAAAGGTAGTGTAGAATTAAATTAAATATATTTCTGTAAAGAAAAATAAATGGTACTTTATTATATGATTAAACTTTCTCAAATTTATCAAATTTTTATGTTGACATAACTTCTGAAATACATCTTTGCCCACACCACCAATGGTTCACACTCCTCTGTAATGCTTCTGCTTTCATTTACACAAGAAGACTAGTTGGGGGAAATGGGAACTGTTCCTATCTGAGGTGATATTATAAAACTTTAAGCTTTTTACTTTCTGCTTCAGGTGGCGTTTCCTCAAAATGAGATTCCCAAGTTCAGTTCCTGTGTTTTCCCTGGTTGCATCTAATGTTTAAAGTGAACTTCCAAATTCTTCTTGCTGCTTTCACAGCAAATATTGCATATGAAAGGATGAATAAGTGAGAAACTTGTTTAATCACTAATATGATGGTTTTGTTGAAGGCTTTGGAAACACAGCTCCTCTATTAACTAATGTATCCATCAATTCCACAGAAAACAACCTTCTTGATGAGTATAACTGAGCCAGAAAGTTGCAATTTGCATTTGAAAGTCAGCTAAAACTCTTCCTGCAGATACAAAAAGCGAGGCTTTCAGAAACAGACAAGATCACAGCAAATTCATACAAAAATTTGGGCAAATATTAAACATTTTACCCTGCCTTGGTAATGCTCTCAATATAAATGGCATAACAGGACTGCTCCTTTAAGCACCATCAAGAACCTTAATGATCTGCACATTGGAGAATTTATCGAAATGTTTCTACTACTCTGTTCCAAGCAGCAAAAGAACAGCTTTCAAGTGCTGCATGTCTCATGCCAGGCACGTCTCCTTTTCAGGCTGTCCACAGCAGAGTGTGAGAACACAAGAGCGGGGGCAGCCCCACTCCCAGCACCCTTTGGGCCAGCCACGAGGGCTGCTATGTACACATTATTCACTTTCCCAGACATTCCTGTGACAGGCTGTAATTAAAGGGCACACTGGGAGGGAAGGAGGAGTAACATACTGCACCAGAATACCAAAAATGATGGCTGTGACAAGTGTTACCATGGTATAACTATTACCAGCATACTCCAAAAGAGTCAGAAGGAAAATAGAAACTGGAGGAGAAATATCAATCAAATTTTGTAGCATTCATTCATTTTCACAAGATTATTTCTAGATTTCACTTGTAAACTCATGCTACACAAACCTCTCATGACTTGCAGTCTATTTTGCTTTGTGATTTCAGTCCAAGAGCTCACCTACACCTCTCTGAAAGCTCAACAGTCAAAGTGATCAGTTTGCAACTTTTTAAACAACATCTCCATATGCCACAACACACATTCAATACACAAGATTATTTTTAGCCAGCTACTTCTTATATTAAAGGGTTCCAAATAAATGAAACAAGACTTGAACACCATGGAAAAGACAGGAATCTAAAACTTTCCACATCCACAAAACAGCGCCTAGTTTTTGGTTGTAGTATTACCATAAACTGAATGGAAATAAAAAATAAACAAACAAACAAACAAACAAAAACCCCCCAAAAACCAAAAACAACACAGAAAGGACAACTTAGTGCAAACACATACTAGGGGGTGAGAGGGGTGGAACATAGGACCAACTGGTCTAACAAGATCAAGGGAAAATTCTCTATATGTAGACCTGGCTAAAAGGGAACACTTTCCATTCCATCAGTACAAAAACACAGCAGTAACTTAAAGCACTTACATAC